ACAATGATTATACCACAGTAGTAAGGATAACAAGGAAAGCATTAGGAGGCAGCATGCTTCAGTAGGAGGGCTTAGAATCAGTAAGTCCTAAGTTCTAATGCTAGCATTCCACTGGGTTGCTCTGAAGCCTGGGGCAAGCCACTCCATCTTCCTCTGCCTCCATTTCCTTATCGCTATATGAGGCTGTTACTTTCCTTCATGTGCATTATAAAGTTGATGTTTCATGTTTTGAACATGCCAAGTGCTGTAGAAGAGATCAGTGTTATACTTAAAGTCATTGCATGATCTTTAAACCCCTATGAACCTGTAACTAAGAATCAAATGGCACCTTATAGACTAACAGATTTATTGGAGCATAAGCTTTCGTGGGCAAAGACCCACTTTGTCAGACGTGCATCTGACAAAGTGGGTCTTCGCCCACGAAAGCTTATGCTCCAATAAATGTTAGTCTATAAAGTGCCACAGGACTCCTCATCACTTTTGCAGATTCAGACTAACACGGCTACCCCTCTGATACTAAGAATCAAAGGTGAGCTTTCAGGGAAGCCAGGATTTCAAGCCTGTTGCTTACATCATGGAGCCATTTCCTCCAGCACCATAATGTTACATTATCTGACATCAGAAGCCTCAGCTCCCAATAACCTTTAGCTTTTGACCTAGTTATTGTGTCTAGCTGCTTGGCATTTTCTCCTCTTTCCCCCATAAATATCCTTTATATTTCAGTGAGATTATGCTTTAGATTTTATTCAGCAGCAGCTATCAAGCTGATCAAATCTCCAAAACCTACGTATATTTGGTTAGTCTTTGCTGTTCTTTTTCAAATGCTGCTATGTCTCTAAAGTATCAGTATTCCATTCATGTGGGTGCTTAACTTCATACATTGTGATTAATACCATTGAAGTCAATAGAACAACTGACTGCAAAAATTTAAGTGCATGTGTAAGCATTTGCCAGATCACGGCCTTAAATTGCACTACTATTGCCTTTTTAGTGGCACGTGACAACATAGTGCCTCTCTATCAATTATATCCCCTTGAAAGATTCATGCGGACGTTACTATTCCTTTTCTCCCTCTACTGCCAAACATAGCACAGATGGTACAACCAGATTAATTAAAATCACCCCCAGGTTTCATTTGCAGTTTGTATTTTGCATTGTTCTCCCATTTAGACTAAACTCCTTCTGCTTATTTGTTTTCACTGTTACTTTTTTATTTTTAAACAGCATACATCTGCTTTACTCATTACAATAAATATTTTATATGCACATTATGTAGATAAAAGATTCACACATCGTGGAAAAGGATTTTCACACAATTTTCTATCTATACATTGCAAAAAGCTTTGGCCTCTAAATCAGTATATGGAATTAGACTAAATGAAGCCTATTTTATCCTGTATATTACTTTTCATGACCAATGTACCCAGATAATTGGATGCTAATATCTATGCTCTATTGTAAAAATTATTTACCTAAAATTGGGTTACTGCTGATTACATGCTTTATGTATCTTACGACTTTTAAAACAAACTTTGTATGGGTGGAAAATCAAAGCACTACCCAGATGTTCTTTGTACATATGTTCTTCTGTTACATATGTACTATGTAATTTCTTTAATATTAACTTTAATAACAATTTTAAATCTGTTAAAAAAATAAAATTAAAGCTATATTGATCACCCTCAGAAGTTCTATTTTTTTTAGTCCTCAAATACCAGCATAAGAGTTTTCCTATTTTCTTTTTTAATATTGAGCTTGGTGTATTTTTTCTTATAACTTCTCTCATTTATAGAAAACCTATTCAACACATTTACTGATCACCCTAAGGAAACTGCTCGGCACTTCACATCCCCAGAAAGATGTTGTGACATACCAGCATACAATCCAGACTAAGGATCAGCTGGATCACCCGTACCCTCTAGTTTACAGTGCCCTTTACAATGCCTTACTGCTGTAGGCTCCATCCTTGACTGCTCACCAACAGCCTTAAGCATGCATGTCACTCCCAGTGATGCCTCTGACTGCTGCAGCCAGCTAGCCAGAGACCTGGTTCTTACGAGCCTTGGATAGCTGTAGGGTGACCCCGTCTCATATTTTCCCTCAGAAATGTATTGCCAAGCCCACTCCCGGACAATACACATTTATATAAAGTCAGTTATTTCTTTAACAGGAACAGCATTGCGCACACTTGCTAAATGGAGCATCCCAGAGACTTCAATTGACATACAATGGATAAGATAAAACAATAAAACAAGTTTATTACCAACCAAGGTAGATTTTAAATTAGTATATGTAATGAGGCCCAAAAGGTCAGAGATTGCTACAAGAAAAATATAGATATATCACAATGAGGACCTAATTTAACCAACTGTATTAAATTCAAACCAGCTTATCAACAATCTTACTGACCAAACTTCTTAAGCCAGGACATCTTTTCCCAGAAACCAATAAATACTTCCTTTGTCAATTCAGGGGCCATGAATATGATAGGCAGAGAGCGAGATAATACCTCGGGGCATTTGTCCCTCCTTTTTATAGTCAGTCCCTTCTGGAAAGACATTTCCAGCCAATCGCCAGGAAACAAATGGTCTATGTGGAAGGATGTTCCCTAATGTTTTTTTCTCTCCTGTTTCAACTTTCTTTGTTTCCCCTCCCTGCTTGATGACTCTATTATTTAAATGCAAATCAAGCAGGGTACACATTCCTTTGTTTAGCACAGACCTTTTTGCCAACTTTGTCTTGGGAGGGGCTGTGGTTTGGAATGCGTTATCAGCACAGTGGAGGGTGATCTTATAACTTCACATGAGATGTTGCCACACATCTTTTACAAGGGCAATAATGGCTAGCAAATTAGGAGTTTTTAAATGATCCCTCACAAGGTATACTTTGTACTAAGCTCATTACAACTGTGTGTAGGGTGTGATAATTCTGTCACAGATGCATCTCAGTTTAATGTACTGAATCAAAGGATCTAGGTCAGCGAACAAACAGGAAGTTTCAGTTTCCAGGGCTCCTTTCAATAATGATGTAGTAAACATTGGTTTTCCATAGAGATTTTCACGCTTAAGGTATCACAAAATGCTTTGCCATGTGGGTGTAGTGACTGTGGGCAAGTAAAGCTACTCTTACATGCTCCAAGAGCCATTCATTTTTGGAAAATGCTATTTTGAGCTAAGGAATGCTAGCCAGGACGTCCAGGCTTGCCATGGTTCCACCACAGGCAGTCCTCGGGTTACGTACAAGATAGGGACTGTAGGTTTGTTCTTAAGTTGAATTTGTATGTAAGTCGGAACTGATACATATTGTAGGGGAAACTCTAGCCAAACATTTCTCCAGAGCTCAGTTTTATTCTCCCACACCTCACTCCCCTCAGTCCTTTATTCTCAAGCTGAGGTGTCTGCTGAGAAAAGCCGCTCCGCGTCTCCCTGGTCTGCTGGGGGGAAGCAGCTAGTGCGGGGTTGCCTCACCCCGTTTGTAAGTAGGGATCCGATGTAAGTCAGATCCATGTAACCCGGGGACTGCCTGTGTAAGATCTTTAAATGTATCTGCTATTTGCTCAGGGCTGCATATGATGTGAAGGCTCACACAGAAGAGAATAGTAATCTTTTATTCTGTTCAAATCATGTAGTCATTGTTGCCTGCCCTACCCCAGACCAGCGGGGGAATGAATTCAGACAAAGGGTTAAATGGAACAGTGCTGAAGGGTGTTTACTGATGTAAATTCTTAAGGGTACTCACACAGGAATCACGCTTATACTAGCAGTCTGGAGGCAGCCTATAGATGTGCCATAGATTTCTTCCGAATTCACAGGCGGCTGGAGCTAGCCAGACAACAGCTTCCCAGAGATTGACTGGGAGGCCGCAGCAATCCCTGGAGATCCCTTCGGATCTGCAGAAGAGCTTTCTTCCCAGTGATGTGATGTTACATTTTGTTCAGAGAGAGCGAGCAAGTCCTGGCCGCTTGTCACGTTAATTTGTACACCTGCAGAGTTCTTCTTTGCCTTAAAAGGTCACAGAGAGCTGGACTGCCTTGTGATTAGATGTTTCTCATTCACACTTCCTCACTCATTCCATAGATTACATGCATATTCATAAGCAAAACTGGATGTGAAGTCTGGTTTCTTGGTAGGATCATTTGACCTGTACTGTGTGGGAGTCCAGGTGTGCTCCACAGCCCGTAAAGGCGGCGTCTATGGTTACAGTGATCGTTGGGGAAGGCTGCTGGAATGGGATGTCCTCTAACATGTTGTGCGGCTGTGACCCTCAGTGTAGTAAGGAGAGACCGTGGCATGGTAAGCTGACTGTTTTGTGTAAGGAGTGCCTGGAAAGGGACAAACAGTGGCCATTTGGAGGCACCTCATATATAGTCTGGCTAGTCTCACAAAATATGTTGTGGCCGCCGTCTGGCCAAGTATTTAGAGACAGTTGCGTATTGTTGTAACTAATGAAGCTTGTACTGTGTTTATGAGGGTGGTGAGTGACATGAACCTGTGTTTGGGCAGGCTGTGATAGAGTCCAGTCAAGTTCCTATAAACTTAAGGGTGTGCGTGTGTTGCAATGTGGATTTTTTCACAGTTGCTATAGAAGCTGAGGAAAAGGTGAAAACTGAAGAACTGTTTGAATTGTTTTGTCATTTTAGGTGAAAGGAGAGCAACTGTGAGGAGCTACGTCTGCTGCCAAGAATAGCAGAGAAGGAACTGAGGAGCCGCACCTCATGCGCAATCAACGGACACTAATGGTGCAAGGGGACACTACTGCGCATGTGTGGTGTGGCAGGGCACTACTAGAAAAAGATCTCCGATCGCCAGCACGGGGATGCACTGGTACCTGAAGTGGAGCACCTACGGGGACAGTACTTGAAGAAGAACATAATCTTTTGGAGATCTGAGTCAAGCTTTCTGAAACTGGATAGAGCGTAACAAAGATCAAACTATACTAAACATCACAAAAAATTATCAGCTTGTTTCCTCCTGAGGAATACTCAGTGTAGTGAAAAGGAGAAAAAAAGAGAAAAGGTTTAATAAGTGAAAAATACATCACTTCTTGCAAATAAAACTATTGTATTAAGAAGTCCAAAACAGCACAAATTAAGATTTATTTCTCTCTCTTTATGGTAATGTCATTTGTCCTAAATGCATTTACTGATAGCTATTATTTTACATTGGGACCAGACTCTAAATTATTTAAAAGAATTGTGTGACACAGACTGCATAACCCTGCAGCATTACAAGTTGCTACTTTATAATTTACATATTATAAATCCAAGTAGTTAGATTTAAAATGTTTTTGCCAGTTTGAAAGTTTTCACCAGTACAAGAGATTTTCGTACCTACATTGAGAGAGATACTATTAAGATCAGTAAAACGTTTCAAATTAACTGAAAATATGTAAATGAATCACAGTATGTATAGTGTTAGCATTTTCCACAAATCCTAAGTAATGATCATCAACTTAAAATATATAATTTCGTTTGAAGACCAATTTGTCTCTCATGTAGAAGACTTCCATCCAAAAAGTAGGCAATGGAAAAAAAGATGTTATTCAGGCAGCTGCTTTGTCAGAAGAAATTCAGTTTGCTTTGCCATTCAGATCCAACGCTCAATAACGTTGAGGGCAGTACTGTAGGTTCTGAGTGCAGGATGAGTCCCTTTGTAACACACCATAAGAGACCCTGCCTCTGCACTGAAGCCTGCTTCCTGCAATTGTTTTGCTATTTCCACTATATCCCAATGTCCCTCTTCCTGGTTGGCCAGTAAGTGGTTGATAAGATGAGGGTAGAATAAAGTGGATATGCACTTCACCACTAATTTTTCATTCAGGAGCAAAGAAAGAATTTCAGAATCACAGTTGGAATCATCAACCTGCAAAGAAAGAAAAATACACAAAAATGAAGACAGAATTAGTAGTTACATCCACATTTTTTTTTTTTAGGCCAGAAGGGACCATAACCTTATAATAATCATTAACCATGGCCTCCTGCAATGTGAAGCTGCAATAGTAGGATGTTCTGCATAGATTTACAACAATAGTAATACATATTTTATACATCCAAGGCAAACCTTTAACAATCATAATTTGTTTTCTTAATAAAACCTCACATAAGTCTTATAGATATATCCATCTCAAACTAAGGAACAAAGCAATGAAAAAGAAGGTAGTGATGGGCTTAGAATAGATTCCCATTATCTTTTCTATATACCAGTAAAATTCCCTATTTTTACAGTAATAGAAGGATTAACAGAGGTTGATAAGGGAGATTGTAAGGTAAACTATATTGTCTGACACACTGGCTAATGCGTGCACTATACAGGGATGTGTCTGAACAGAGCTCAGGTAAACTATATTGTCCGACACGCTGGCTAATGCGTGCACTATACAGGGATGTGTCTGAACAGAGCTCAGGGTGAGATTTTCAAGCTCTCTGAACCGGTGGGTGGTGAGTGGAAGGGGGGACAGAATTGCCAGTCCCCCGAACAAGGGGTATGTGTGTGTGTGTGCGCTCCACACTCCTGGAAGGGGAGGGGCCTTGGATGAAGGGGCAGGGCTTGCGGCTAGTGGTTGTGATGGCCAAGAGCCTCAGGCCCTTTTGAATCATTGGGCCCCACAATAGTTGCCCCTATTCCCTCCACCATTGGTGGGCCAGCACAAAACCTGTAGCCAGACTCAGACTTTCCAAGTCTGGAATACTCAGCAGTTGCCATAGATACACAGATTGGGTACTGAGCTCTTTTGAAAATTGGGTCTATATTTGTACAGACAATGCTACAGAATTTAGCTTTTAAATTCAATTTGAGCTAATGTAGCGGATAAATCAAATGTAAATTCCTAGACAGCCAATACTGCTTTAACAGCATAAAGTGTTTTGCGTCTCCACTGTCCAGAAAAAAAATAAAACAAACAAGCAACAGAAAAGAGCCTGGTAAGATGTAAAAACTGTCTTCCTTTCAATGGGCTCCATCAGATAAAATATGAACAAATCAAGTAACCTGTTTAATAAATAGTGATTTCCTGACCACTTGATTTTTAAAAGTTAAAGCCCATCCTCCTTCTACTCAACCTGGGTCCCATTTTCCAGAATAACTGTCCACTACATTTTGAGAGATGGTAGAGCAGAATGTATAAATCACATTCACATATCTGAAGTGATTTGGTACAGCAGCACAACTCTTCTAATTCTTAGCATATGTAGCTGATTCTATGAAATCTCCACAGTGAAGTGACACTGACATCTTGGAGACAACCGACAACTTATTCCTAGGCAATGTTATACTCAACCAGCAGTGTAAGTAATTTCATCTTGATTTTTCAGGACAACATCCAATATTTTCTTGTCTATCATTTCGGAGTGTCTTTTTTGTCTCTAGCTATACAGCTAAAGCAGTACAGAGCTTAGCTTCTCAGGTTTCTTGTTAAACTGACAGGTTTTCCTCCCCTCGTAACACATCAGGATGGACATTTCTTGGTTATTTCCCAATTTCCTATTCCATCAACTTTTCACTTCCATTTCTCAGACAACAGGAGGAATGACCAGATCTGTGCCTTTGCCTAGGAGATTAGATATACCTCAGGTCCAGTGAGCCAGCATACCAACCTTTGTGGCTCAGGAAAATTCTACACTACCACTTAAGTCAATCTAACTTGCATCGCTCAGGGGTGTGAAAAAGACACCACCCCCTAGCGACACGTTACAGTGACCTAAGTGCTGTCCAGAGTGGTACTGGTACTATATTAGCAGGAGATGCTGATCTTTAAGTCAGCTGGAGAGCTGCCATTGACGACAATGGGGACAAAACGGAGCCTAAACTGAAAAAACCACACAAATTATTTCAGAATAAAAACCTTATCTTCAGATCCTTTCAGCCTTATAAATATAAGTATCTTGCTCTTGTGAAAGAGATGATGGGAGAAATCATGATGCTTTATATAGAATATAGAAAAACAAGCAAGAATAATTTGTTGTTCCTTTTAAAAAGTAGAACACTTTCCCCAACCTCTCTTTCTTTTTTTAAAGCACCGAAAAAGGGACAAAGCATGAAACATGTCAACACGCCAAGAGTATTCATCTAATGAACCAAACTCAAGAAAGCAGGCTGCAGGTACAATTACCCTGTGTTTGCCTTAAAACGATCCTTTATTATCAGTTTATTAACTAATCTCCTCCCCCCCCCAAGGACTTGAGAAACTCGAGAGGAAAGTATGGGATTTTCTAGATTAAATAGGAGAAGGTTCCCCTTATAGACAAAGGTTTCTATCCAGCAGAGGAATGAAGATTTGGAACAATTTTCCAAAGAGTGAAGGAGGACAAAGAACTCATTTCTTTTAAGACTTACTTGAAAAATGTATCAAGTGGATTGTATGATTAGATTACAGATAAGGCACATGGCCCATCTACAGTAAAACTCCGATGGTCCGGCATCTGACGGTCCGGCACTCCTGATGGTCCGGCATCATCAGGAACCCGGAATTGCTCTGGGCAGCCGGACCATTGGAGCTGCTCTGCCCCCAGCTTCCCCGATTCAGCC